CCCTTCTTCAGAAAATTTTCTGAAGAAGGGTCTAGGCCCGAAACGTCAGCTTTCCTGCTCCTCTGATGCTGCTTGGCCTGCTGTGTTCATCCAGCTCTACACCTTGTTATCTCAGATTCTCCAGCATCTGCAGTTCCTATTATCAGTGAATGTTAATGCTACTGGTTTAATAATCCCAATGCAGCTGGTTCAATTTATGTTCAATTAATAAATCTCAAATTTGTAAGCTAGTCCCTGAAATTTTGTTGATGGAAACCGAATCAATCGTTGTCAAAATCAGTCTGGTTCACTAATGTCCTTTAGGGAAGGAAATCTGCCATCCTTACCCAGTCTGGCCTACTTGTGGCTCGACACAATGTGGCTGACTTTTACCTGCCCTCTGAAATGGGCTAGCAAACCACCCAGCTGTATCAAACGATTAGAAAGTCAAAATGGAATAAAACCTGATAGATCAATTGGCATCAAACTAGGCAACAAGACACTTTCCTCTGATTTCTCCAGCGACTGCATGGACCTTAGAGGTCTGTGTGTGGCAGTGGCTGGAGAAACCAGAAGTGAATATGTCAGTGCCCCAATCAATCATACACAGACACTTGAAGTACACAATGCTTCGAGGGAATACTGTCCACCACTATAAGCATTGCAATGTATGCCTTATTAGCATTTGGGAATTGTGCCAAAATTGGGAAAGACGAGTAAGCAAAGCTCTAACATAAAAAAAACTCACTGAAGCATACTTCACAGAATAAGACCCACTGACACCAGAGATGACATTACAGTGATATACATTTGGGAGGGGATTACATTGGCAGTCCTTGACTCTGACTTTTGACCTCATGAAGTCTCATAGATTAAACACGAGTAAGGAAAACTGCTGATTATCGTCTCATGCTCCACCACCTTCTGGCTTATGAATCAGTCCTGCTCATGTTGAACACTACTTGAAGGAAGCATCAACAGTAACGAAGACACAAAATGCACTATGGGGCAGAATTTTAATGTCCATCACCATGAGTGGCACAATCAAACCACTGCTAACCAAACTGATTGAGTTATAAATAATATTGATGCTAGATTGGTCTGTGTTAAGGGTAACAAAACCCATTAGGCCTTGTGCCCGCCCATCTACCTGGCGATGATGCATCTGTTCATGGAAATATCGATGGGAGTTCCTACTCCACAATCCTTGTGGAGAAGAAATACCATCTTCACATTGAGATACCCACCTATCATGTAATACAAGACTATCACTGTATGAAATAGGATAGATTCTGTCCAGACCAAACCTCAAAACTGGGCATCCTTGATGTACACTGGGCCATCAGCAGCAGTGGAATTATATTCAGTGGAAATCCCTAACCAAAGAAGCAGACAGTGCTGGACACCCAGACACAAACATGAATAGTCGTGGACATTTAAAATCTCTTTCCTATGGCTTTTAATTTCCAAACTCAATTGGTTTTCCCAGTTCATCTATCAATATCACATAAAAGTTAAGACAGTGGACAAATAGCTTGGTTGTAAAAATGGTATTGATCAAGATTTTTAAAGGTGGAGAGAGAGAAAGGAAAGGGTGAGTGGATTTAGGAGAGAGCTACAGAATAGACTAAGTTGACTGAAAGTCCTACCACTAATCGTAAGATAAAAGGATACAGACGAGGTTCCAGAGGTGTATGAAAAAGAAAAGAATGGTTCGACAAATGTGGGTCTATTATAGCCAAGGCAGGAGAATTCATGATGAAAAACAGGGAAGTGGCAGAGAAACGTAATTACTTTGTGTTTGTCTTCATGAATCTTCCAGAAATGATTATGAACCGAGGGATTTGTGAAAATGTGAAACTGAAATGAATCAGTGTTAGAAAGATTTATTTGGTACTTAAGGAATTAACCGGATTGAGGGTTGATAAATTCCCCGGACTAGAACAACTGCATCCCAGAGCATTGAAGGAGGTGACCAGAGAAATAATGGATACACTGGTGGTTACCTTTCAAAATTCTGTAGCACCTGGAAAGTACCAAATGTAACCTTATTATTTAAGGAGGGGCAGAGAGAGAAAATGAAGAACTACAGAGCTGTTCTTTTGATTTCATGAGTTGGAAATGTTATAATCAGTTATAAAGTATATGATAACTAGATACTTAGTTAAAAAAAATGCCTGGACAGAGTCAATATGGATTTATGAAAGAAAGTCATGCTTGACAAACCAGTTAGAGGTTTTTAGGATATTACTCGTAGCATAGATAAATGAGAATCGGTTGATGTGAAACACTTAGAGTTAGAAGGCTTTTGATAAAATCCCATACAGGATGTTAGTAAACAAAATTAGAGCCCTCGGGGAGGTGGTGAGGGGGAGTGCAGTGGCAGTGGTGTAACATGAACTGAGACAAAAACAGAAATTGTTGGAGAAACTCAGTAAATCTGGCAGCATCCATGGAGAGAAAACAGAGTTAACATTTCAAGTCTGATGACCCTATTTCAGAACAATATGGATTAAGAACTGGTTAACAGAAAAGAAACAGAGAGTAGGAATAAATGGGTCATTCTCAGGATGAAAGACTGTTACCAGTGGGATATCATAAGGATCAGTATTGGGGCCACACCTAGTCGCAAGCTTTATTAATGATTTTGATGTGGAGATCAAACATAATATTCCAAATTTGCTGGTGACAACAAACTAGGTGAGAACCTAAGTTGTGAAGAGGATGTAAGAAAGATGCAAGGAAACTTGGACAAGCTGAATGAAAGGGCAGGAACATGCCAGAAATAATAGAATGTGAATGTATGAAGTTATCCACTTTGTTATCAGCAACAGATACACAGAGCACTTTTTAAATAGTGAGACATTTGTAAGTGTTGGTGTCCATAGGGACTGGGGTGTCCTTGTTCATGAGACACTAAAAGGTACAATTAGAAAGAAAAATTATATGTTGGTTTTCATCGCAAGGGGCTTTGTAAATATAGTAAAAACTGCTGAGGGAGGCAAGCAAGGAGATCTCATGGACCTTGGTTATAATTTCCAGATCTTCCCTGGCCGCAGGTGAGGTGCCAGAGGAATACTAATGTTAACCCATTATTAAAAAATTGAGGAAGTGATAGACCAGTAATTTACAGGCCAGTCAATCTAACCTTGGCGATAGGGAGATTATTAGCCAAAATTCTGAGAGACAAAAAATATTGGTACTTGGAGAGATGCAGATTAAACATGTATAGTCAACATGGATTTTTCAAGGGAAGGTTGTATTTGATAAATTTGATCGAATTCTTTCAGGAGATAACCAGGAATATTGATGAAGGTAACGTATCTGATATAGTCCACCTGGAGTTCAGCAAAGCTTTTGATGAGGTTCCTTATGGCAAACTGATCAAGAAAGTAAGAGTCCATGGGATTTAAGGCAAAGTGGCACATTGGATCCAAAATTGACCATGAGGGAAGAAACAGAGTGTGATGGTAGAGAGACGTGACTGGAAGTCTATTTCCACTGAAGATTCCAGGGCTTGTTGCTAGGTATCTTGATGTTTGTGATGTTCATTAGTGTACTTAAATATAGGAGATACGATTGAGAATTTTGAAGACAGCCCTAAAATTAATAGGATATTAAATAGTGAGGAGGATAGGCATAAACTGCAGGAAAATATCAAAGGAATGGTCAGGTGGGCAAGTAAGTGGCAAATGGAACAAAAAGTATGAGGAAATGCACTGGGGGAGGACTAATAAGTTAGAATTACACAATGGACATAGGACCCTTGAAGGCACTGAAGATCAGAGGGACCTTGGTGTGCATTTCCACAGTTCCCTGAGGTATTTAGGCAGATGGATAAGGTGGTTAAGAAGCTATATGGGATACCTGAATACAAGAGCCCAGACATTATACTTGAACTGTATAAAAAGCAGATTGGCAACCACTGATCACCGCATTCAGTTCTGATCACTTTGAGAAAAGATGTGATTGCACTAGAGAAACAATGAAAGGAACATGACGTGTCTGGCTCCTCAATAGCTTTTGCAACTGTTCCAGAACCCGTGGCTTGTCCCTGTCAATCAAGCATTGAAGATACCTCGGAATCTAAGATGGACATGGCAGATGTCATTACCTCAACATCTTTGTGGTCCCAAGAAGAAAATGAATTTCTTCCAGGCGCAAGAAGCGAGCTACCGTGCATTACACGCCAACTGTATCAGAGGCAGAGTTGGAGG